CACTGGGAGACATGGGGACACAGACTCTAAGGGACACTGGGAGACATGGGGATACAAACACTGGGCGACATGGGGACACCGAGACACTAGGGGACACTGAGAGACATGGAGACACTGGGGGACACAGGTAGACATGGGGACACTGAGCAACTTTGAGACTTGGGAGATATGGGGCACTCCCAGTGTCCCATGTCTTCCAGCCAGTGTCCCTAGTATCTCAGTACCCCCATGTCTCCTGGTGTCTCTCAGTGTCCGTAGTGTGCCAGTGTTTCCTAGTCTCCCAAAGTCCCCTAGTCTCTCAGTGTCCCAATGTCTCCCAGTGACCCCACATCTCCTAGTGTCTTAGTGTCCCTTAGTATAAAAGAAAAAATCTCAGGCACTCACTGTGATAGATTTAAGCAGGTTTATTGGGCACCGCAACGTTTCAACCTGTACCCAGGTCTTTATCAAGTCTCCAGTGTTCCCAATGTATCAGAGTGTCTCAGTGCCCCATGTCTCCCAGTGTCCCTGGTGTCTCTCAGTGTCCTTAGTGTCTCAGTGTCCCCTAGTCTCTCAGAATCCCCTAGTCTCCCAGTGTCCGCATGTCTCACAGTGCCCCTAAGTGTCTCAGTGTCCCCTAGTATAAAAGAAAAAATTCTCAGGCACTCACTGTGATAGATTTAAGCAGGTTTATTGGACACCGCAACATTTTGACCTGTACCCAGGTCTTTATCAAGTCTCCAGTGTCCCCTATATATCACAGTGTCTCAGTGCCCCATGTCTCCCAGTGTCCCCAAGCGTTAGTGTCCCCAGGTCTCCCAGTGTTCCAATGTCTCAATGTCCCCTAGTGTCCTAGTGACATGGGGACACTGGGAGGCATGGGGACACAGACATGCCCCCTTTTTGTGTATGTTCGCCCCTTTCGGCAGAATGGTTATGTGATTTGTGTCAGTGGCCCACCCTTTTACCCCATCCATAGACTTCCTGCTTTAATGGACACTGCTGTTAGGGGGTATGGGTTTACTTGAAAGATGAAAGCGTGAGATTAGCATAGGGTATGTGTTTTCTCATAGCTGCATCCCATGAGTTTCCCTCCAGCACCATCTCCATCAGATACATGACGCTTAGGAGGTAGGACTGTTTTAGTGTTTTTGGTCAATAAGATTTTGTAATTAGGCCCATAATAATTGTCAGCACCAGGCCCACTGGGCTCTTAATCTGGCCCTGTGCATACCTTGTCTTCTTTGGCATGACTGAAGAGTCAGACTTATGGTACAGCATTCTACAAAGCATATATTTTATTGGTACAAAAACTATAAAGTTTTGAGCATGCAAAAAATACAGCATGTTAATACGGCCAAACCCTATCAAATGCATTAAAGGGACACTTTAGTCAGCAGAACCATTACAGCCTCATGTGGTTCTGGTGTCTATAGCCTGTCTCTGTATTAATGTCTGAGAAAAGGCAGTGTTTACATTGCTGACTAATAACACCTCTAGTGGGAGTCACTCGTCGAGTTGTTCCTCCCTCACCCCCTCTCTTTTTTACTACTTGTTTTAAAATGTTTGCTTGGGGAAAACACACTGTTATATATTGAAAACTTGATTATTCTTTTGTTCCTTAAAAAAAAGAATTTAAGAGACACCCTGGATATAATTAAGGTGCTAAAAGTTGTGTGGTGGGAGTATTCATATATACACCAAAGAAACAAAGGGCACCCGATACCGACAATAATACAAAGTCTTTAAGAGATCAAACGCACTGTTTAGAAATTTCTTAGGCTAAATGTCACTATTTTGTTGCCATTTCTAAATATACATTCATGGGAACAAGAAAGTTACACCCTTTTTGAATTTTTTTGTTTTACAAATCAGGACATAACATTTAACTGTTCATTAGCAGGTCTTAAAATTAGGTAAATACAACCTCAGATGAAAAACAACACATGACATATTACAATGTGGCAAGATTTAACAAAAATAAAGCCAAAATGGAGAAGCCATGTGTATAAAAACTAAGTATACCTTATGATCCAATCGCTTGTAGAGCCACCTTTAGCAGCAATACCTTAAAGTAATCATTTTCTGTATGACTCTGTCAGTCTCTCACATCATTAAGGAGGAATTGTGGCCCACTCTTCTTAATATTACTTCATTTCATTGACGTTTGCTGGCACTTGTTTATATGTTCTATATGTTCTCTTAAGTTCCCACCACAGTATTTCAATCAGGTTGAGGTCTAGACTTTGATTGGGCCATTGCAACAACTTGATTCTTTTCTTTTTCTGCCATTCTGTTGTAGATTTGCTGATGTGCTTGGGATCATTGTCCTGTTGCATGACACCATTTCTGCTAAGCTTTAGCTGTCGGACAGATTCCCTCACATTTAACTCTAGAATACTTTGGTATACAGAGGTCGACTCAATGACTGTAAGGTTCCCAAGTGCTATGGCTGCAAAAGAAGCCAAAATCACCACCCCTCCGCCACCATGCTTGAAACTTGGTATAAGGTGTTTGTTCTGATATGCTGTGTTGGGTTTTCACAAAACGTGGTGCTGTGCAATATGATTCCAAACATCTCCACTTTGGTCTCGTCTTTCCATCTGACATTTTTCCAGAAATCTTGTGGTTTGTTCACCTAAGCTGTGCTGGCGTATACTCATTAGAGAGAAGAGGCTTTCTCCTGGCAACCCTTCCAAACAAGCCATACTTGTTCAGTCTTTTTCTAATTGTACTGTCATGAACTTTCACATTTAACATGCTAACTGAGGCCTGTAGAGATGTAACTCTTTTTTTTTTCTTTTTATAATCTCACTGTAGAATAATGGATGTTTGGAAATGGTCTTATAACCCTTCCCAGTTTGATGGGCAGCAACAATTGCCTCTCTACGATCATTGCTGATGTATTTCCTCCTTTGGCATTGTGTTAACACACACCTGAATGCTCCAGACCAGCAAACTGCTAAAACATTGGTTTTTATAAGGGTGGTCATAATTGCTAATGATCAATTAATCAAGGGCATTTGATTAGCAGAACTTATTTGCTACTCAGCCTCTAATTTCCTATGGAAGAAGTAAGGGTTTACTTAGTTTTTCACTCATGGCTTCTCCAGTTTGGCTTTGTTTTTGTTAAATCGTGAGACAGTGTAATATGTCATGTGTTGTTGTTCAATTGATGTTGTATTTACCTAATTTTAAGACCTGCTAAGGAACAGATGATTGTTATTACATCCTGATGTGTAAACCCATATAATTCAATGAGGGTGTAATTTCTTTTTCCTATGACTGTATATAGAAAGAGAACAAATCAAATTTGATCATGGCACAATACATTTATTACTAAGTTAAATAAAAAATATATATACAGATACCAACAAGAATATATGCAAATATAAAGTTAAATGTGCAAAAAGCACATTACCACAATGGCTGCAAAGTACCAGCAAAGTCTGCTTGACTAGTCGAGGTGTACAGTCAATGGGCCCCTTACGTGCAACTCTAAGGGGTTCTCAGTTTCAATATTTCTCAGGATCTGTTCTGGAGCACATGAGGTGGAAGAGCTACAATGTCCCAAGCTTTACTTGTTTTGTCTGTTATGTTTTGTCTCCTCAGACACTTTATTAATTCTTCGTAGGTACTCCCTCTTCAGTTTATGTCCCCTCCTCCCTCCAAAAAACAGAAAACAGCACTTGCATAGTCTGCATGTCCCCAGCATCTCACTGCATATAATAACACTGCAGGGTCGGGACGTCACAAGCAGGCACACTATGCAAAGAAAAATATGGATAAAGAAAACTAAAACAACTTTATTATTACTAGACAAAGAGCAAACTGCACTAAATATTTGATGCTAGAATTATTCCTATTTAATTTTTGTGCAATTAATATTTCAATGACGTCTTGTTTTATGTTGAATTCTGTGGGTGAGAAAACGCCAAATGTCTGTCAAACAGAATATCTATCAATGTGCTAAGAAAAACAAACTAAAATCACCATTTAAATATGTAATACATATAGTTATATATGAAAGGATCATATACTTATACACTCATAATTCATACAATTATATTTAAAAATAGTCATGTATATTTATGAATGTAAGTACTTTAGAAAATCCTAGGAACAATCATACTGTCACTGATGTATATATAAAAACATAAATATAACTAAAATAGGAAATTGTAAAACATCTAATTACACAAAATTGCCACTAAAGGAAGAAAACACACAGAAGATATTAATAAAATACACATAAAATGTACATAAAAATGCATACTCAAAAAAATCATATACAGGGAGTGCAGAATTATTAGGCAAATGAGTATTTTGACCACATCATCCTCTTTATGCATGTTGTCTTACTCCAAGCTGTATAGGCTCGAAAGCCTACTACCAATTAAGCATATTAGGTGATGTGCACCTCTGTAATGAGAAGGGGTGTGGTCTAATGACATCAACACCCTATATCAGGTGTGCATAATTATTAGGCAACTTCCTTTCCTTTGGCAAAATGGGTCAAAAGAAGGACTTGACAGGCTCAGAAAAGTCAAAATAGTGAGATATCTTGCAGAGGGATGCAGCACTCTTAAAATTGCAAAGCTTCTGAAGCGTGATCATCGAACAATCAAGCGTTTCATTCAAAATAGTCAACAGGGTCGCAAGAAGCGTGTGGAAAAACCAAGGCGCAAAATAACTGCCCATGAACTGAGAAAAGTCAAGCGTGCAGCTGCCACGATGCCACTTGCCACCAGTTTGGCCATATTTCAGAGCTGCAACATCACTGGAGTGCCCAAAAGCACAAGGTGTGCAATACTCAGAGACATGGCCAAGGTAAGAAAGGCTGAAAGGCGACCACCACTGAACAAGACACACAAGCTGAAACGTCAAGACTGGGCCAAGAAATATCTCAAGACTGATTTTCCTAAGGTTTTATGGACTGATGAAATGAGAGTGAGTCTTGATGGGCCAGATGGATGGGCCCGTGGCTGGATTGGTAAAGGGCAGAGAGCTCCAGTCCGACTCAGACGCCAGCAAGGTGGAGGTGGAGTACTGGTTTGGGCTGGTATCATCAAAGATGAGCTTGTGGGGCCTTTTCGGGTTGAGGATGGAGTCAAGCTCAACTCCCAGTCCTACTGCCAGTTCCTGGAAGACACCTTCTTCAAGCAGTGGTACAGGAAGAAGTCTGCATCCTTCAAGAAAAACATGATTTTCATGCAGGACAATGCTCCATCACACGCTTCCAAGTACTCCACAGCGTGGCTGGCAAGAAAGGGTATAAAAGAAGAAAATCTAATGACATGGCCTCCTTGTTCACCTGATCTGAACCCCATTGAGAACCTGTGGTCCATCATCAAATGTGAGATTTACAAGGAGGGAAAACAGTACACCTCTCTGAACAGTGTCTGGGAGGCTGTGGTTGCTGCTGCACGCAATGTTGATGGTGAACAGATGAAAACACTGACAGAATCCATGGATGGCAGGCTTTTGAGTGTCCTTGCAAAGAAAGGTGGCTATATTGGTCACTGATTTGTTTTGTTTTTGAATGTCAGAAATGTATATTTGTGAATGTTGAGATGTTATATTGGTTTCACTGGTAATAATAAATAATTGAAATGGGTATATATTTGTTTTCTGTTAAGTTGCCTAATAATTATGCACAGTAATAGTCCCCTGCACACACAGATATCCCCCTAACATAGCTATAACTAAAAACAAACTAAAAACTACTTCCAAAAATATTCAGCTTTGATATTAATGAGTTTTTGGGTTCATTGAGAACATGGTTGTTGTTCAATAATAAAATTAATCCTCAAAAATACAACTTGCCTAATAATTCTGCACTCCCTGTATAAAGGAGATTCCAATCCATAAGCACTCATATATCCAATTCAGTATTTAACCCAAAAGCTTTAAGTGTTTTCAACCTATACATTCATTTTGTTTGTGTTATGGGTATTTGGGTATAAAGTGGTTAATTTGGGTATAAATGATTAATTTGAGCTAAAATTGTATTAGTGTTATGTCATTTTCCTTTCTATGTAATCAAAGCACATTCCCATACTTGTTCTAATGATGTACAGTGCCTTGCAAAAGTATTCACCCCCCTTGACTTTTTACCTATTTTGTTACATTAGAGCCTTAAATTCAATGTTTTATTAATCTGAATTTTATGTGATGGATCAGAACACAATAGTCTAAGTTGGTGAAGTGAAATGAGAAAAATATATACATAACACTATTTTTTAGAAATAGAAACCAGAAAATTGGCATGTGCGTATGTATTCACCCCCTTTGTTATGAAGCCCATAAAAAGCTCTGGTGCAACCAATTACCTTCAGAAGTCACATAATTTGTGAAATTATGTCCACCTGTGTGCAATCTAAGTGTCACATGATCTGTCATTACATATACACACCTTTTTTGAAAGGCCCCAGAGGCTGCAACACCTAAGCAAGAGGCACCACTAACCAAACACTGCCCTGAAGACCAAGGAACTCTCCAAACAAGTAAGGGACAATCTTGTTGAGAAGTACAGTCAGGTCCATACATTTTAGGACATCGACACAATTCTAATCGTTTTGGCTCTATACACCACCACAATGGATTTGAAATGAAATGAACAAGATGTGCATTAACTGCAGACTTTCAGCTTTAATTTGAGGGTATTTACATCCAAATCAGGTGAACGGTGTAGGAATTAAAACAGTTTGTATATGTGCCTCCCACTTTTCAAGGGACCAAAAGTAATGGGACAATTGGCTGCTCAGCTGTTCCATGGCCAGGTGTGTGTTATTCCCCCATTATCCCATTTACAAGGAGCAGATAAAGGGTCCAGAGTTCATTTCAAGTGTGCTGTTTGTATTTGAAATCTATTGCTGTCAACTCTCAATATGAGATCCAAAGAGCTGTCACTATCAGTGAAGCAAGCCATCATTAGGCTGAAAAAGAAAACAAACCCATCAGAGAGATAGCAAAAACATTAGGTGTGGCCAAATCAACTGTTTGGAACTAGTGATGTCGCGAACCGTTCGCGAACTTGCCGCGAACAGTTCTCCACAAACCGTTCGCGGCGAACTCCAGTCTGCAGACACATCCCTGCCAATCTCCGGCAGACCCTCCCTCCCAGACCCTCCTACTTCCTGGACAGCATCCATGTTGAACGCAGTTTCAACATGGATGCTGTCCAGGAGGTGCGAGGGAGGGTCTGCCGGAGATTGGCAGGGATGTGTCAGCTGACCGGAGTTTGCCGCGAACGGTTCATGGCGAACCGTTCGCGGCAAGTTCGCGAACGGTTCGCGACATCACTATTTGGAACATCCTTAAAAAGAAAGAACACACCGGTGAGCTCAGCAACACCAAAAGACCTGGAAGACCACGGAAAACAACTCTGGTGGACGACCGAAGAATTCTTTCCCTAGTGAAGAAAACACCCTTCACAACAGTTGGCCAGATCAAGAACACTCTCCAGGAGGTAGGTGTATGTGTGTCAAAGTCAACAATCAAGAGAAGACTTCACCAGAGTGAATACAGAGGGTTCACCACAAGATGTAAACCATTGGTGAGCCTCAAAAACAGGGAGGCCAGATTACTTTGCCAAACAACATCTAAAAAAGCTTTCACAGTTCTGGAACAACATCCTATGGACAGATGAGACCAAGATTAACTTGTACCAGAGTGATGGGAAGAGAAGAGTATGGAGAAGGAAAGGAACTGCTCATGATCCAAAGCATACCACCTCATTAGTGAAGCATGGTGGTGGTAGTGTCATGGCATGGGCATGTATGGCTGCCAATGGATCTGGTTCTCTTGTATTTATTGATGATGTGACTGCTGACAAAAGCAGCAGGATGAATTCTGAAGTGTTTCGGGCAATATTATCTGCTCATAGTCAGCCAAATGCTTTAGAACTCATTGGACGGCGCTTCACAGTGCAGATGGACAATGACCCGAAGCATACTGCAAAAGCAACCAAAGAGTTTTTTTAAGGGAAAGAAGTGGAATGTTATGCAATGGCCAAGTCAATCACCTGACCTGAATCCGATTGAGCATGCATTTCACTTGATGAAGACAAAACTGAAGTGAAAATGCCCCAAGAACAAGCAGGAACTGAAGACAGTTGCAGTAGAGGCCTGGCAGAGCATCACCAGCGATGAAACCCAGTGTCTGATGGCGTCTATGCATTCCAGACTTCAGGCTGTAATTGACTGCAAAGGATTTGCAACCATGTATTAAAAAGTGAAAGTTTGATTTATGGCTGTTAATCTGTCCCATTACTTTTGGTCCCTTAAAAAGTGGGAGGCACATATACAAACTTTTGTAATTCCTACACCGTTCACCTGATTTGGATGTAAATACCCTCAAATTAAAGCTGAAAGTCTGCAGTTAAAGCACATCTTATTTGTTTAATTTCAAATCCATTGTGGTGGTGTATAGAGCCAAAAAGATGAGAATTGTGTAATGTCCCAATATTTATGGACCTGACTGTACAAGTCAGGGTTAGGTTATATAAAATATATCCAAATCTTTGATGATCCCCAGGAGCACCATCAAATCTATCATAATCAAATGGAAAGAACATGGCACAACACAAACCTGCCAAGAGACAGCCGCCCACCAAAACTCACGGACCGGGCAAGGAGGACATTAATCAGAGAGGCAGCACAGAGACTTAAGGTAACCCTGGAGGAGCTGCAGAGTTCCACAGCAGAGACTGGAATGTCCGTACATAGGACGACAATAAGCCATACACTCCATTGAGTTGGGCTTTATGGCAGAGTGGCCAGAATAAAAACAAAATGGCACGTTTTGAGTTTATGAAAAGGCATGTGGGAGACTCCCAAAATGTATGGAGGGAGGTGCTCTGGTCTGATGAGACTAAAATTGAACTTTTCGGCCATAAAAGATAATGCTATGTCTGGCGCAAACCCAACACATCACATCACTCAAAGAACACCATCCCCACAGTGAAACATGGTGGTGGCAGTATCATGCTGTGGGGATGTTTTTCAGCAGCCGGGACTGGGAAACTGGTCAGAGTTGAGGAAAAGATGGATGGTGCTAATTACAGGCATATTCTTGAGCAAAACCTGTACCACCCTGTGTGTGATTTGAGGCTAGGACGGAGGTTCACCTTCCAGCAGGACAATGACCCCAAACACACTGCTAAAGCAACACTTGAGTGGTTTAAGGGGAAACATGTAAATGTGTTGGAATGGCCTAGTCAAAGCCCAGACCTCAATCCAATAGAAAATCTGTGGTCAGATTTAAAGATTGCTGTTCACAAGCGCAAACCATCCAACTTGAAAGAGCTGGAGCAGTTTTGCAAGGAGGAATAGGCAAAAATCCCAGTGGTAAGATGTGGCAAGCTCACAGAGACTTATCCAAAGCGACTTGGAGCTGTGATTGCTGCAAAAGGTGGCTCTACAAAGTATTGACTTTAGGGGGGTGAATAGTTATGCACATTGACCTTTTCTGTTAATTTGTCCTATTTGTTTTTTGCTTTAAAAAAAAAAAAATCTTCAAAGTTGTGGGCATGTTCTGTAAATTAAATGATGCAAATCCTCAAACAATCCATGTTAATTCCAAGTTGTCAACAAAAAAAAGGAGGCAACAAAACACAAAAAATGCCAAGGGGGCGAATATTTTTGCAAGGCACTGTATATAAACATTTGCAGTTAGTTTAGTGAATACAAGGTCACTCAGGTCAGAGAATCTTTGCTACTTGCCGGAGAATCTGAATTTCCTTTTAAGAAGACAAAATATTTTCTTATCTGACGAAGCATGTTTTGATTTCTTATTAGCTTAGTATTTAAACTCATACTTGCATATGAAGGTTAACTTTAAAAGTTTCTTTAGTACAATGACTTCATTACAACATCGTTACATGGTTACATAGAATTACATATTTGATTTAGCCTAAGTTGGCGTAAATTGATTAGCATAATTATTAGCTAACGTATTGCAATGTATTGACATTTATGAAGTACTAATCTATATAAGGGCTCTTATGTATAAACTATTTGGATCAGATCTTAACATTATTATTTTTTTATTTTAATTTTATTTTTGCAGTGGAAGAAAACCCCCCAAAAATCCTGCAATGCCACAACAGCATTAGCTAGCACACAAGGCTCAGACCTTGCCCCTGGATTTATACCTTAAAAATTACTCTGCCTTTTGGGTTTCTAACTTTTGCTTTTTTTTAAATAAATTAAAATTTTGTGTGAATTTTATTACTGCCCTTTTCTGAA